CGCCCCCCCGTGCCGTGGCCAGTCCCTCTGGGCTGCTGGGGGGTGTCGGGCCTCGTGTCCGCCACAGGCCGCAGCCCTGGGTTCCCAAGGCGGTCCGCCAGGCTAGCGCTGCTTTCCGGCGTCCGGACTAGCCCAGCGCGCCCAGACACCACTTTCCCAGTGAAATCTGCTTTTATTTGCTCGGAGCAAACCCCGGGCTCTCAGCGCTCCCGCCTGATGGATGCAAATGTAAATGTGCACTTATTTAATTGGATCAGGCCCCAAGATAAAAGAGATAAACGGCTCCCCGTTTGCTAACTTATTTTCCGAGGCATGCAGCGCCGCGTGGAGGGGAAGTTAATGAAGGCGGTGCGCGTCGATTGGCGCTGGAGCTCTCGGCAGCCATGGTGGCCCCGCGAGTCCGACACTCCTCTTCGGTTTACGTCCTCAGCACTGGCCCAGCCGGCTGGGTAGGGCACCCTTGGGACCTCCTGTGCGCCAGGTTAGGAAAGTGAGAAGGAACCGCGTTGGCATCCGGTCGCAAATACCCCACCCTCATCACATTTTTCTCACTTTGGCTGGTCCCACTCTTTCTTATTCAACTTCCCTTGCTTGGGTTATTCCGGCTGGGCCCATTTGATAGAAAATCCTATCTATCTTTCCCGAGCGTCTTCTTTCATCCCAGGTGGCGGTTTTAGAAAGGAAAACTCAAGGGACACGGAAAGACCAAGCGTACCCCTCGGGGCACCAGGGTTCCAGGAAGTAGTCCTCAGGACGGAAGGTCCTCCCTCTCTGTTGCCAGCTGGCCCTCTTTTGGAGCCTGGGATTTCTTTCAGATCTGCTGGGAGCCGTGGATTAACCCCCGCATCTCCCCCAAATAACATACACACGCAACACAAATAACACTTCAGTAATTTTGAAGGGTCGCAGAACCCAGACAACCAGACTTTAGGTGAAAAAGACCGCCTGGCTCTTGGTTCCCCTGGGCCGAACCCGGCCAGAATTCAGAACTTCCGTGCCAGCCCCTCTTCCTCCACCACAAATTGATTTTCCAATGTGGGGTCTCTATTTTTCCTGCAAAGTTTCTCTTCTGTTCAGAGGTCGTTCGTTCGGGTGGGCGAGGGAGAGAGGTTTGATAAGACAGCCTGCGGAGAATGGGTGCAAAGCAGCCAGTCATTGGGGCTCCCCGCGGAAACCTTCGACTTGTAGCTCCCAGAGCCTGGGATGCTGCACGGGGAAGGCTGGACCTGGTGAGGCCCGGTGGGGACAGGTCGGCTGAGGCCGGGCTGGGCAGGGCGTC